AAATGCAGCAAGTAAATCCCTAGTTGGTGTTTGCCGTTTGGTTACCTGCAGTAAGTCCCCTTACCTACGAATTTAGGTTATTTTAGACTTTAACCCTTACTCCAGTCTCACCAAATGCTTTTTAAGTCTATGACTTTCTCTCTCTCCATGAGTCTCCTCCTTCTAACTACATCTTCCCCAAACTTGGTTTTTTGTTTTTTGGTGCTCGGAAGCCTTTGGCTTCTTGAGCTTTTGGGTGTTAGGAAGCCCTCCGGCTTCTCATGCTGGTGGAGCCAACTTGTCGTGCTCCGGTGTCTAATGACCACCTTAAGTGGTCTGTCAGTTTTCTTTTGGGGTCCCTCCGGTGGTCCTTTTCGTTTCTTTACTGTTTTCTTGTTTTCTTTGTTTGTTTACTCATATCTGGCCAACAAACCAACTATGCAGAAATTAGGGATGGCCGCTAATCTTCTTGCCTTGACATCTTGGAGACCGAGCTCATCTTCAAGAGTAGATTGAAGGATGTCCAACTTTTGAAACGATCTACTAAAAAAATTTGTAAATATATAATTCCTTAAAGGTTGTTCATATAATTTTCACTATCCTTTTTTTATATTTGTTCTTTGATGAATTTGATGTACTCTACTTGCTATCTCTAGTTGGATTTTCTTTAATCTATCATGTTTCTTATCACTGAGACAAAAAATCCTTCATGTAAATACCGTACGATTATGTTTTAATTAAACAAGTTCTACTTAGTTAAAAAAAAAGAAAAAAAAAGACTTTAACCCTTACTAACACATCCCTCCGTTTTTCTTTATTTGTACACTTTAAAATTTAGACATATAATTTTAAGTAATATATATTTTTTAAATAATGTATATAACATTTAATTTTTATACAAATTAAAGTTTTAACTTTAAAAATATCACTTTTTAATAAATATTTTAAAAATTAATCATTAAATTTAATATTTTATTTATATAGATAATACATGTTAATTTTCAAACTGATTAAATAAATATAAATATTTTATTGATTACATGAATTTGACACCATTAAATATATATTAAAAATTACAATTTAACTTTAAAAATATTATTTTTTAATAAATATTTTTAAAAATCAATCATTAAATTTAATATTCTATTTATATTGATAATATATGTTAATTTTCAAACTGATTAAATGAATATAAATATTTTATTAATTATATGAGTTTGACATCATTAAATATATATTAAAAATTACAAGTTTCTTAATTGAATAATTATAAATGTTTGATCAACTTAAAAATTGATATACATAATAAATATAATAAATATGAATAAAATATTAAATTTAAATAAGTTAATTTTTTTAAATATTAATAGGAGGGTGGTATTTTTGAAACTAAAACTCCAATGTTTTTTAAATATTTTTATAAAAATCGAGGTTGATATGTGTACTATTTTCATATTTTTATATAAAATATAAATAATAATTAATTTTTTTATCAAATAAAACTACTTAATAAATATTAATTTTTTAAAAAAAAATTAATTATTATTTATATACTACTAAACAAAAGTATCATCTAAAATTACCTATAAAAAGAGTACTCCTGTAACAAATGAGAAGTGCAAAGCACCCTGGCCACTCAAAGGGTATTTGGAAAGATAAATTTCCATAACTATGTAAGGAACTTTATTATTATTATTATTATTTTTCACATTATCAAAGTTTTAGGAGGTAAAAACTTATTGCAACTTTGCTATTATTAGACTCACTCGGTATAACTTTACGGGAAAGTTAATGATTTGTTTGTTCAAATAAAGATAATTTAATTTTTTTTAAAATAAACTCTTAAATTTAAGTTTTACGAATGAAAAAATCATCTTAAAAAAGTTTTTTTTTTTTTTTTGCGATGTAATGTGGATAAATTCAATTTTGCATTAACCAAGATTTTCAAATATCAGAGGATTTAATAAAAAATAAAAAAAAACTTTCCAAGAAAAATTCTCTGTTACCAATTTTCTCTACAACTTTTCTTCCCAACAGTGTTTTCAGTGAGTCTTTTTTTTTTTTTGGGGGGTAATGATATACGTTAAAACTAATTTTGGGAAAGATCGATATGGGGTGGGAAGTTTAGGGATCCACTCGGAGGAGTATCAACTTGTTTTCTAATATATGAAAAAAAAAAAAAAAGTCAAATTATTTTTATGGGAAAATGATTTTTGTGTGTTTTTCTTTTTTGGCAAGAGTATAAATGTCTTCCTTGGTGAGAAAGTATAGGGGTGTCCAGCGCCTACAAACAATTTGAAGATATATATTTTCTCCAATTTTATCTCTCTTTCCTTCTTGATTCCTACTTTGATCGATTTTCCTAGTTTGAAAACTATGGACGCATTGGTTTTTCTCAGTCCTTCTCCAACAATGGCGGCTGGTATTGAAGAAGCACAGTACCCTGCAAGGAAAAAGAAGCGCAAGAGACCCAATGCCCAAAAACTCCTTCCTAACGACAAAGTAGAGGTAATGCAGAGTCGCCGCCACGTTTTTCTTGAGTCCATTAAGTTCTTTTGGTGACTATTGATTTTGGGTTTATGGTTTTATGATTTCTTATGGGGTTAATTCAATCTTCTTCTAATGGGTACTGTCCTGTTTGGTTGTTGCTGAAAATTTTCCGTTTCTTTTATGGTGTTTCTATAATGCTTCTGTGTTATTTTTCTGTTTCGGTATTGTTTTTGAGGTTAAAAGTTGCAAACTTTCCAAGACTTTTAATCGGTTCGATTAGAACCACATTGCTTCTTGATTTCATGCTAGTTTTATGCTCTGTGTATCATTCATGTGATGCAAGGTTTGATTTAAGAGTTATCGGGGGAAACAAAACTGTATGTTATTTCAATTGCGCTTAGAGAGGTTACAATAATAAGCATGCAAAATCTGCAAACTTTAGCAGCCGTGGCAACAGAGATGTGGTGCTTTGTATGGAAAAGATCCATTTTATCCCCAGAGTGTAATATTTTCAAGTTATATGAATATCATATTCAATGAATTATTTTTTATTCCAAACATATTCTACGATTAAGGTTGAAAATAACAAAATTATCAACTACCTTATATGCAAATCTCAGTATTCTTGTTTGTGCGCTGGCTTTCTATATGGGCATATTTGTTGGATTAGAAATTTTAGTTTTGTTCATGAAAGCTTAAACTTTTGTAGGTGAGAAGTCTGGAACAGGGATTTGCTGGTTCATGGCATCAGGGAACTGTCGTTTCATGTAATAAAGGGAATCGTCATGTTAAATATGATCATGTTCTTGTTGATAATGGTTCAGATTTTCTTGTTGACAGGGTCAGTGTTTCACCTGCACTGGATGGTGCTGATTACTCCAGTGTAAATATCTGTAATTATCGTGGATGTATAAGGCCATTGCCACCTAAACTGGATCTTGACAAATCACAACTTTTCTATGGCCTTTGTGTAGATATGTACTATAAGGAAGCTTGGTGGGAGGGTGTTGTATTTGACCATGGAGATGGTTTGGAAGAGAGGAGGATTTTCTTCCCAGACTTAGGTGATGAAATGATGGCCAGAATTGACTCCTTGCGAATCACTCAGGATTGGAATGAGTTTACAGCAGATTGGAAGTGTCGTGGGACCTGGCTGTTTCTTGAGCTGATTGAAAAGTTCAAGCAGGAGTTGTTTGTCCCTGTTTCTGTGAAGCAAATTTGGTATGAGGTCCGGGGGAGAAACCGTTATAAAACTATTCAGGAATGGACTTCTTCTTGTGAACCAATTTGGAAAGAGTTGGTGCTGGAGGTGATTAATGATAACATCAAACATACTATAGTTCATTTTTACTCTGTATTAGGCTTTCCTAGATCGTTGCAACAAGGATCCAAGCCACTACTGGAGTGTCATCCTATGCATTCTGGAGCAGATGCACCTAAATCTCTTGCTGCTGTACCAGTTGAGAACTCAACTAGCACTGGTACAAGGAGTGCAGACGCAGCTGGTATTCACAGATCATGTCAAGATAATGCTGTGTGTATGCAACCTCAGCCTTTGGGAGTGTTGCCTTCTACTGAAGACAGAATTTTCTGCATCAGTTCTATAACCAGCAATGAAGTACTTGTTAGAAACAATTCAGATATGTTAGCTGCAACTCAGTGCATGAAAACACATTCATGGTTGCCTGCTGGTCCAGACATCGTTCCTAAAGCCAAGTCTCACCCAGAAGCCATTTTGAAATATGTTCAAAAGCCTCGGAGCACTCTGGTACAAGAAGTTAGGATGCATCTTAAATATCAGAGATGGAGGATTGAGTTTATGCATGATGGATGTAAAAATAGATTCCGCTACACCTCACCTGAGGGGAAGCAGTATTTTTCTCTTCGTCAGGTTTGTGCAGATTTTAGCAAATCATATATAGAGAATAATAATTCTAACACCACAGAGAATCAGAGAAGTTTGTGTGCTTTGCCCGATGATTCACTGTCTCCAGATCTTGGGCAATGGCAGGATAATCAGAATCCTGACATTTGCCCTCAGGCTGTGACCTTATCTCACTCTGACGTGCTTGCTACCAAACCTAAAAATTGTCCTCAAGCTGTTCTCAGATGGTGGAAGGCTGGATATGACAATACTTGCAAGGGCTGTACTAAGAGTGGTGATCTGATGTTAAAAGCAAAAAAACATCTCTTAGCTCAGGGTTGGGTATTTCACCTTGCAAATTGTAAAAGCAGATCCTATGCATGTTACACTTCACCAAGAGGAAGGAAATGTTATTCACTTCGACAGGCCTGCAAAATCTGTATGGAGGAAGGTGGAGTTTCTGAAAGTAATTACTCTGGTAGTAGGCTTGAGGAGGGTGAAAGACAGCTAGCTAGAAAGAAGTTGCCTTCTGAACTTTGTAACAGTTTGGTACCATTGGATGGTTTGTCAAAAAATTGGTCAGCGGAGGCTTCTTGTATATCACAGTCAAGAAAGATTGGTGAGCTCAGTAGAATAGGAAGTCAAGGAACTGGAAAACTCAGAAGCAAGGGAAAGAATAAGAGGAGCAGTCAACCAACTCGTGTGCTAAGATCAAGCAAAAGAGTGCAGCAGATTGCAACTTCTAGTTTCTCTCACCAGATTCCTCAGACCATACTGTCTTGGTTGATATACAACAATGTGGTTTTACCAAGGGCAAAAGTACATTGCTCTGGAAGGAGGAACTGTAGAAAGCCAACTAAAGAAGGGAGAATAACTAATTCTGGGATCAAGTGCAGTTGTTGCTCCAAGGTGTACACTGTTAGTAGCTTTGTAGCTCATGCTGGTGGCATTGGCAATAAGCCTGCTGCAAAGATATTCCTGAAAGATGGAAGGTCTCTTCTAGATTGCCTGCTGCAATTGATACGTGATATTATGATGAGATACTTTAAAGCTGAGCCAGATGAGGAGTTGAAGAGCAATTGGCAGCAAGGAAACAATGATGACATTTGTTCTGTTTGTCATTATGGGGGGGAACTAGTTTTATGTGATCAGTGTCCATCCTCATTTCATAGAAGTTGCCTTGGTTTAGAGGTACCTGGTGTGTTTTATATAGTTCATCATTTCAAAATATTATGTTAATTCAGTTATTTTTCACTATGGAACTTGTTAAGTGGTATAGTAGAGATAATAGGTTTCTGTTTTTTGAACTTTGGCTCTTATAGACTGTTCTAGATGGTGAATGGTTCTGCCCATCATGTTGTTGTGGAATTTGCGGTCAAAGCAAGTTGAAGGATGTTGATGGAAATTCTATTGACGATACAGTTCTCAGGTGCAGTCAGTGCGAGCACAAATGTCAGTTAATTTTCTCTTCTTCTTTTACTTTTTTCTTTTCTTTTTTTTTCTTTTTGGGGTAAAAATACACTTTGAAGTATTTTTTATGCAGTTTTGTCTATTTGATTGTGTAGATCATTTTGGGTGCCTACATAACAGAGGAGCTGATAAGTTGGGAGCCAATTCTGACAAAAATTGGTTTTGTGGAAAAAAGTGCAAAGAGGTACTGATTAACATACTACTGTAACTTGCATTATGCTTTGATTTTTGACTCTCTCAGCCCTACTGCCAAACATGAGGGGAAAGGAAAAGAAAAAGAAATTGCAGGAAAAATCTATAGAACGATAATTTGTTTGATGTTCATTCAGATAAACCTTGTAAGAAAGTAAAATTTTTTTTTTTTCTTGGTAGCATGCCTTGACCATGTGTTTAGCTTACTTCAACAGTCTATAATGCATAACAAATGTGTCATCATATGTGCTTCATGAATTATGGTACTTGTGGGAAATACTCCTTATATGTTTTGGGTTTCTTTTGGCAGATATTTAAGGGCCTTCATAAGCTTTTAGGAAAGCAAGTTCCAGTTGGTAAGAGCACAGACAATCTAACGTGGACACTGGTGAAACCTATGCCGCCTGATACTAGTGATCTCAATGCTCTTGATAATAGTGACGCCTTGATTGAGAGTTACAGCAAGCTTAATATTGCTCTTGGCGTGATGCATGAATGTTTTGAGCCTGTCCAAGAACGCTATACCGGGAGGGATCTCGTTGAAGATATTATATTCAATAGAGGGTGAGTAATTCTTACTTTGATGAAGCCAACTTGACAAATTTAATTTATCAAATTAGTACCTGTCTCCAATCTGATCCTTGTGATATGGAAATTTCCAGGTCAGATCTTAACCGTTTGAACTTCCGAGGATTCTATACAGTGCTTCTGGAGAAAAATGATGAATTGATTACTGTTGCTACTCTAAGGTAAGCTTTTCATAAAAGATAAGTGGTGTGCCACAGACATATTTAAGCTCTGCTGTTTCTGTGTCAGTTATTGGATAATGTAATCCTCAAGTGTGATTTTCCTGTTCAAGGGTCTTTGGAGAAAAGGCAGCAGAATTACCTTTAGTTGGTACAAGGTTTAAATATCGCCGACGTGGAATGTGTCACATTTTGATGGATGAGCTTGAAAAGGTAATTTACTGCATGATCAATATTGCTGCATACAAACAAGTTTCGTTAAGCTCTTCTTAATATTCATTGCTTCTTTTATCCTTTTTAATTTTCAGTGTGTGCCTGATGTGATATGTTATTGCCATTTGCCATTTATTTTTATTTTATTCTCATATTTTGTTTTGAGCTTTGCCTTTCCTCTGATATATGATTGCTAGTAATTAATAACTTTGATGGTTGGAATAGTCATACTTTATGAGAAAGTAGAATTGGAGTTTGGCTATGTATCCAAACTAATAGAGTGGCATAACGTGATTAGTAAAAAAGCCAGTCAATGACATAAGAACAGAATGGACTGCGGTGTCTGGATACCTAGGTCTAGCTCTGAGTTAACAGAAGAGAAAAACTTATTTCCCGCATTTGTTGTCCTAAGATAGTTATGGTATTTCACTAGCTTCCACTTCTTCATTGCTTCAGAAGCTCATGGAGTTGGGAGTGGAAAGGCTGATATTGCCTGCTGTTAGTAGTTTACTGCAAACATGGAGGTCCTCATTTGGGTTTTCTGAGATGACAGCTTCTGAGAGATTAAAATTTGTTGATTATAGCTTCCTAGATTTCCCGGATACCATCATGTGCCAGAAACTATTATCTAAGAGACCTTGTGCAGAATCGGACACACTAAGAGGTATGCTTTGATAATGTTTTGGCCTTGTTCAGGGAAAAGTGCTGTATTATTTTATCAACTTGTTTGTATCTTCTACTTTGCAGAGCACCATCATGGATACTACAATGATGTTAATGATACGGCTGCTGTTAATGTCAGTTCGATTAGTCCACCCTCTGAAGCATTCCATCCTGGAAAAATTGAGGGAAGCAGGATTCTGGATCGAGGACTTGTGGAGTATGTCTCACCTCTTAATTACTCTGTTTGGGGACAGGAAAAATAAAAACCTAAAGAGCTTAAACATTTTATCTTCTGGGGTGGTCACTCATCAGACACATGATACTGGCTTTAGACTGTTTGCTGGATTAACAAGATGGAGATTTCTTAATTCTGAATCTATTGCCTACTTGAAAGAAATTCTTAACAGTCATTAACTCATTAATTATAATTGTATGGATTGGAAAATTAATTAGATAATCACACAACTAAATAATCAAACGGTTCATGTGGTATTATTTTGTGGTACTGTAGTTTCTTGATTAATCAAAGACTTATTTATGGTTTTCATATGATAAACCAGTGACTTATGGAGTGCCCCATTTCTGCCTCATGTAAAAAACAGTCAACCAGGCTAGTTCTGGTTCTACTTATAAAAACTGCATTACACATGTAGCACATGCAAATTTTACTTGCATTACAATTTAAAAATGGAAGCCTTTAATTTTGAAAAATGTGAAACTTGTGCTCAATTAAATGTCATCAGAAGGTTCTGGTTATTTCAAACTTAAAATTGTCTTAACTTAACCGGTACAAGCTTTTATTGTTAGTTGTTGGCTGAGGTGATCACAACCATCCAATTTGTTAAAGGTCACCAATTTATTTGTAATTTTATTAGTTTATAATTTTTGTAAAATAATTAGTTATGATATTTAGAGATATCCATTTATAAATTAATTTTAATCTGTTAAATAATAAATATTAATTAATTATTTTTAATAACTAAATTAAAATAAAAATTTAATAATTATTGATGACCTTAACAAATTGTATGATAGTCATAGCCATGACCAATATGATAACCTTGTCATTCTTGAAACTGTAAATTGTATGCACATGTTGTACCCTAAAAGGGGGGAAGGTGGGGTGGGGTTTATCTTTATGCATTGGTTTGAGACATGGCCTAATTCTTAATGAAAGAAATTACTTTTCTTATCTGATAAAATACTTCAGCTATTTATTTATTTTGTTACATATTTCTAAGATGATTTTTTTATAACTCATTGGAAAAAGAGTGGGGGGTGCATCTTCACTGTTCTCAAAATTTTCTTGGTTGTAGCAGTATTTAGTCCAACAAGTTGTTAGGGCCATTTGTTTTTATTGCTTGATATTCAGGATTTTTGCATGTCACTGTGTCAATTATTTCTCTGACGCCCCTGTTTTTTGCCAGTGTTGATCCAGGTGAGAGCTGCAGTGGTACCAAAAAAGAGGTTCCTCCTCCCAAGTACTATAAGCGAAGGAGGATACAGGAAAGCAGCCAGTGAGAGCTGATTTTTGTTTAATTTGCAGAGTTTATAAGTAGATGATCAAATTGTTTCACTTCAACAGCTCCTAATTTTGCTTTGTGGATAGGTAAAACTTTTCCTCTTGTACAGACTACATAAACGATGGAGAGAGCGGGTCAGAGTAAGTTCATGCTTTTAGGCATGTAATAATTTTGGAGATATTGATGTGAATGGAGTTCTATCTTCCTCTTCTTTTTGGCTGAATTAACGATGAAATATTACCTCATTTTGATTTTAGAATATTTATGTATGAGAAAATTATTTTACAAGTCGTTTATTTTTTTAAATTTTTTTTAAAATACATTTAAAAACTTATTTTTTTTATTTATATTTTTAAAATTCAATAGTTGAATAAAAAATTTTATTTATATAGATTATACATATGAATTTTTATGTTGATTTAATAAGTATGTTCTTTATATATATGTTGTAAATAGAGTTACTTTTATTAAAGAGTTATAAGT